CAACCAATCCATGTTTCTCTCTGTCTCTGTCTCTGTCTCTTTCTCTCTCCTGCTCCCTCCCTCCCTTCCACTCTCCCTAAAAACCAATGAAAAAAAATCTTCCAGTGAGGGTTAACAAAAAAATAATAATAATTTAAGATTTCAATGATGTTTAACAGTTTTGAATGATTTTAAATTTTAACTATACATTCATATTATTCTGAAGTGTTATATACATTTATTTGAATACATAATTGGATACATAACATTTATATAAGCAATATATGATACATTAAATGTTGCTCTGAGTGAAAGCAGCTTGAATTAAAATTATTGAGCCCAGCAAGTGTGGCTCTGTGGTTGCGAGTCTACCCATAAACCAAGGGGTCACTGGTTTGATTCCTGACCCAGACATATGCTCGGGAATTATCCCCAGTAGGGGGCATGCAAGAGGCAGCCTCTCTCGTCCATGTTTCTCTCTCTATCCCTCTCCCTTCCTCTCTCTGAAATCAATAAAGATAGATTTAAAAAAAAGTAATAACATCAAGTTATGTTAAATGCTATATTGAGAAGAAGGAAAACCAAATGAATTCTCTCACCAGCAGCTACAGTGAAGGAAGCCAGGGAATGCGATGGAAAGCAGCAGACAGAGGCTACAAGTGACTGGTAGACGTCTAAGCGCCAGGTCCATTGGCAGTTGGATACTGAGTTTGCCAGTTACAAGAAATGAGAAATGGGTGGAGGTCCATCTGTGTCCTTTGTAAGCCAGGAACATAGGTGGCCATGTGGGGAGGCAGTGTAGAGTCACAAAGACGCATAAACTTGATTGTGAGGCCCTTAAACATTGAATGGGAAGGGAGAGAAGAGCTACAAGGGAAACCGAGGTAGAACGGCCATACATTAGAAAAACAACCAGAGAGAAAGGTGGTAGGAGTGTCCTTAAGACAATAAATGTGCTTCCAAGAGCATCAGTGCGTTCATGCTGGGAGTGGATCGAAACGACCCACTAGATGGGAAAACAAGGGGCCTTGGGGCCTCCACAGTTGGTGGAGGTAACAGGTAGCCTCACATTAAAGCAGATGGCAGCGGGAGTGAGAGAAGTTAGTGGCTCTGAAGCGGAGAAGGACTCTGCGGGATCTGGGAAAGAATGGGGGTTAGCTTTTCTCGGAGGATTTTTCCCTCTTATGCAGCCTATATTTTTAATAGATGATTTCATGTAATCGATGTACTAGCAAATCATATTAATGCATTTCATTGTATTTATTTTAAATCATGACTTCCTCAATTATCTGCAATGATAATTTATCATGTCTTAGTAATACTACTCTGTGTATAAGTCTGCGGCTCAGTTTTTGTGAATTTCTTAGGCGGGAATACGTAACGAATTCAATCCATCAGTGTGATTCCTGGAATGACTGCCTTTATTAGGTAAGCTCCTTAACTGACATCATTGTGACACTGGTTTACTACAGCAGCTTTATAACACACGCCCTGTTCTGGCCGAGCTGGATGTGACAGGGGTTTCTTCATAGGATGCTTTGGCCATTTTTCTAATGTTACGAGTATCACAGGCGCAGGTGACTCTCAAGTGAACCAAAATACTATGGGCATAAACACTGACAACTTCCTTCAAAAATGAACGTGGGAAACGGACCATGCACTCTCTTTCTCAACACTTAAAAGAAATAATGCTGAAAATATCAAACACACAATGTAAACCCAGAGCAAGAGAAAGCTGTGCGTCATTCAGGAGTAACAACAGACTTAGCAATTAGAGCAGGAGTCCAGAAACCAGGACTCACAAAAAGGCACCAGCCATAACTCACCGGGAAGAAATTTTGTTGCAGTTCCATTCGGCTTGAACATTGGTGCGGTGCTGAGCAACCTACTTAGGTTTCTAAGCCTCAGTTTTCCCATCAATCGAACAGGTTCAAAACATATTTAGTTACTGTGACTATTAGACCAACGCATGCATTTCGAGGCATCATATCTTCCATAGAGGAAGAACTTTCACTGTGGTAGGTATTTCCCTGTTTTCCTTGGACCAGCTGCATAGGAGAACATTATTTGTTCCTTCTAAGAAATCCTTCGCACCTGTTTCAGTTCAGTAACTGGCCTCTAAAGGAGGCAGCTACACACACACACCCCCCAGAATTCCGTCCTGAACTCCAGAGAAGCCTGAAAAACTGCTCATTGCAAACAGGTGTCTGATTTTTTCCATGATGAAATGGTGGTTTCTATGTCCTTGCCGCCCGCCCACGAGCATACTCGTGTCCGTGTCCCAACGCCACTGACCGCCCACGAGCAAACTCGCGTCTGCGCTTAGACGAACGTAAGGAACTTCAAGCACCTTGCCGGCCAAAGCAGCCGGCCGCTCGGGCGCGCTGCGGCTTGAAAAGCCGGTGGGCAGGGGGCGTTCACATCCGAGAGCCCGCAGTAAATGCCTCCGCAAAGGCAGGACAGCGGGGT